ATCAGATGTGATTGAAAAATGAGCTTACAAACTTCGACACCTGGATGGCACCGAAATGACCAAGCCGAGGAATGCAATGAACCTGAAAAGGTACTTTCAATAAAGTAAATCGTACAGTGTTTTCTAGTACTCTACTTTTTGAATAAATAAAGCTGCTGACAGCCTTTTTCAAATGTCCCACATCGAATAAAAACAAAACTTCTGACTATTATTTAAAGTGGAATAACACGAGATCTAAACAGTGGAGTGGACCCCCTAATGGTAGGCAACCCATAACGGGACCCACCATCAGGGGTCTCCACTTCACACTTTTTATCATTTATCTTACCACAAATAAGGTCTTATCACCTACAAGAAATGATGTCCCACATCGTTCAAAAAGTGGAATCTAACCCTTTTCTTATAAGGATCCACACTTACCTCCTATCAGTATGTGGGACCCATTGACAATGGGACCTCACTTACGACACTAAAGTGCCCCATTGTTAGAGGTCTCCATACACTCCCCACATATTTTCCCTTTTTTAGAAAGTACAGTCCGACATCGATAAAAAAGGAAAAGAATCCCTTATTTTTATAATATGACATGCCGGGTATACAATCAGCGGGTGAGGACCCTAAATTACGAGGCCCATGGATAGTCTCAGCTCATTATCATAGGGGGTCCGTAATTTAGAGCCTTCCCCGCTTTCTTTTGGGATAGGTCACTTCTTTTCAAATCCCTATCTCACTTTAAATAGAAAATAGGTTTTCCATAAGACAGAATCTTTTAAATTCTAAACGTCAGTAAGGGAACACCCATACAAAGAAGGTCCGACACCCATTTTTTCCAAAAAAGGCCTAATAAAAAGGGGTCAACTCGCGACGACACACTCAAGACGGACTTACAAATAGGCAAAGGCCCTAAGAGCCTAACGTCCGAATGGGCTTGACCGGATAAACCGCTCAAATCTAAAAAAGCCGAACGGCCCCAAGAGCCGATCGTAAAATAGGCAAAGACCCTAAGAGCCTAAAACCCGAACAGGCTTGACCGGATAAACCGCTTAAGTCCAAAAAGCCAAACGGCCCTAAGAGCCGATCGCAAAATAAGCGAAGGCCCCAAAAGCCTAACGCACGAACAAGATTGACTGGATAAACCGCTCAAGTCCAAAAAAGCCAAACGGCCCCAAGAGCCGATCGCAAAAATAGGCGAAGGCCCCAAGAGCCTAACGCCTAAAAAGGACAGGATAAACAGCTCAAGTCTAAAAAGCCGAACGGCCCTAAGAGCCGATCACAAAATAGGCGAAGGCCCCAAGAGCCTAATGCCCGAACAGGCTTGACCGGATAAACCGCTCAAGTCCAAAAAAGCCGAACGGCCCCAAAAGCCGATCACAAAAATAGGCGAAGGCCCCAAGAGCCTAATGCCCGAACGGGCTTAACCGGATAAACCGCTCAAGTCCAAAAAAGCCGAACGACCCCAAAAGCTGATCACAAAATAGGCAAAGGCCCCAAGAGCCTAACACCCTAACAGGCTTAATCGGATAAACCGCTCAAGTCCAAAAAAGCCGAATGGCCCCAAGAGCTGATTGCAAAATAGGCAAAGGCCCCAAAAGCTTAACGCCCGAACAGGCTTGACCGGATAAACCGCTCAAGTCCAAAAAAGTTGAACGGCCCCAAGAGCCGATCGCAAAACAGGCGAAGGCCCCAAGAGCCTAACGCCCGAATGGGCTTGACCGGATAAACTGCTCGAGTCCAAAAAAACCAAATAACCCCAAGAGCCGATCGTAAAATAGGCGAAGAGCCGATCGTGAAATAAGCAAAGAGCCAATCGCAAAATAAGCGAAGGCCCCAATTGCCTAACACCCGAATGCTAATTGCAAATTAGACAAATACATCGAATCACAAGCAATAATGTAAGCAAAAGCAATCCCAAAGATTGTCAAAAGGAAACCTCCATGTTCTTACAAGTAGGTGAGGGTTTTTACAAAAGAGGCAGGGCATACCCAACACCTCAAAAAAAAAAAAAAAAAAAAAAGCTACGCAGGATTACCATCAGGCATAGCTCCACCCTCCGCATTGAACCTCTGCGTAAACGCATCAACCAACTTTACTCTGACTGAAATAGAGGAAGGGGTATCGAGCGATAAGGCAGGTAATCCCTGAGAACCCGAAAGATATTGTAGAGGAGAGGGAACCTCGCCAGACACCTCACCCTTCAGTAGAGCAGCAAAATTCTGTCTCTCTAGGGCCAATCGAAGGCTCAGCATACTCACCTGCAATTAAGAACCCCTGTTCGGCATCATGATCATCAGCATCACCATAATCTCTCTCCTCAGAAGGAAGCTGCCCCTGAGCAAAACCAAGCCTGAAGCCTTTGGCATAGCAGAGATTCGCAATCTGGGAAAAATGGTTAAACATCTCCAAACCCCCATCCTTGCAGGTTTGAATAAGAAAGTTTGCCTTCCCAAGTTGCAGGTCAAGCTCAACTGCTTTGTCCTCAAGCTCCCTAGCACTTTTGCCAAAATACTCAATTGACTTAAACTGCTGAGCTTTTTCCCTCTTCTCCTCTGTGAGAGAAGCCTCCAAAGCACTTACCCTCTTCTGAAGGGCAGCAGACTGGTTCGCATGAAGGGAGTCAGTTGAGAGCTTCGTCATAAGAGAAAACATTAAGAAAGAGCTCTGCGCAAAGACAACATAGAAAAAAAAAAAAAAAAAAAAAAAACGGAATAAAGGGATAAGAAAGGGTTACCTCCATTATGGATTCGGGAGCAAGAGACAACAGATCATCAATACTCATCTATTGCTGTAAAATTTCATCTCTGGGAAGCCACATCCCTCTAGCTAAACCCATCAACGTCTCCAGGTCTTCGACTCCAAAGTCACCAATGGTAATAGGGGACCTATCAGACTTCATCATTTTGGGGAACCACTTCTCGGTAGACCCCGCGAAATCACCCCCAGCAACATCAGCAGCTCCAAGAATCAAAGCACTTTTTCCTCTGGAGGCCCCAACCATTAACTTGGGACGCTTCGAAGAAGAATCATCCTTCACTGATGAACGCTTAGTCCCTAACTGGACTCCTTTTTGCTTTAGAGAGGGAGAAAGCCTGCTCGCCCCGACAAGAAGGTTCTTCCTTTCTTGCAACAACTTAGCGGCCACCTCCCTCTCCTTCTTCGTTGTACGAGGCTTTGGAGGAGGAAGTTCCATCACTGATTGAGAGAGGGTAAGAGGAGCAGGCGATAAGATAGCCTCAGAGTCGGAGGCGTCAAGGTCAATGGGCTCCTCAGGATTTAAAGCAATTAGTGAAGAATCTCTCGAAATCACCTCAAGAAGAGAAGATGAGGGAAGGATCTTGGCAGAAGGAACGTCACTCCAAACTCTTTCCTGTAAATAAGCAAGATGACTATCTGCAAATTTCGAAGAGAAAAAATCAATTTTGTGACCTAGGAAGTCATATATACAACAAAAATGCTTTACGACACAGACGAAACAAGAAGACTCGCTCAAATCATCAAATGTGGGAACAGATGGGGTATGAAAGCTCGATCAAACGAATAAATCCCAAATGGACAAAGATCGCCACGCCCCTCCGACCTTAATAATTTTGTACTTCCACTCTTTGTCAGAGGTATTAAGATGAGATAAAAGAGTTATACCCGGTCTAGAATGAAGGTGGAACTTACCCTTTCCTCCTTTCAATCTATCAAATGAATAGCAAAACAAAAGGTCGGCAGGATTCAAGGTTAAACCTCGAACCCTGTTCAGAGCAAGAAAATAGGAGAGAATACGGAAGAAATTAGGGTTAACTTAAAAAGGAGCCAAATTCAACACCGACAAAACCCAAAGGTAAAAAGGATTTAAGGTGAATCGAATAGCAGGAAAATGTAAAGCTGAGAAGAGCATTTTGCCCTCCTTCAAACCCTCACCTATACTAAAGTTCAAATCATGGTCGTACTCCTCAAGGGTAATGTCAGAAGGAACACGATTCTTCTTTCTTAATTGAGAAATCGGGGACTTCCTTTTTATAACATTTGCAGGGAGGACTATGGGACCCTCGACATAATCACTCAGACTCGCCGCCACAGTTCCCGACTCAGAATCAGACATATGAACGCTATGAGTTCGTTCACCACTTTCTTAACTCATAATGTAAGAAAGATGGAATGAAAAGAAGACTAACCTTAACTGATGAAATGAGATGTCGAAGCAGTTAGAAATCGGATTCTTACCAAAACTCAGGAACAAAATTATAGATGCAGATGCCCAAACCACGAAAACGCAGTATATAAGTTGAAAGGGGCGGAAAACGGAAGGGCAAACACGAAGTCCCAGAATCGACAGCATGAACGGGAATGATCAGCAGTAACAACCGCGAAAACTTCTCCACTTCACGAAAACGGTTACAATTCCTTATATGAATCAAATTTATAAAAAGGAATCGGGGGCAAAGTGTGGAGGGAAAAAAAACCACGCTAATCGCAAAACACCACGTGGCGGCAAAAGGCAGCCCACAACCAAGTTAAAAAAAAACTAGAAGCCCACAATCAGATATAAGCCCAGCAAAGGAAGGCCTACTTAATACAAAGGCTAAATGGGTAGGCCCAATCTTGACAAGGCCCAAATGCCATAACGCCCGGAATAATGTTGAATGCAAGATCTGTAGGCATAATTACCCACGTTTGTGAATAAAAGCCAAGAAACGGCTCCATGTAAATTCCTAAGCAAAAATACTTATAAATAGACCTGAACAAAGATAAAGAGCATCGAACTCTCAATATTACTACTATCTCAAAGATTTTCTTGTTCCCTTCTCGATTTTTCCTGTGTGCTCTCCATAATTGATCTCTTTAGGTGTTCGGGTGTAAAAAATTGCACCCATACCTCTCAACCTTTTGGGGCTAGTATTTCCACTGTTGCCAAGTTGATCAATCCATCTACTCATAAATGGAATCTTACTGTGATTGATTGACATTTTAACCAGCGCGATCGGATGTTAATTCGCCAAATTCCTTTTAGTACCATGGGAGGTAGGGATTGTAAGGTTTGGGGCGCCTCTAAAAATGGTCATTTCATCGTTAAAAGTGCTTACCATATCGCGTTATCCATTCTTCTAAAGACGTCCATCCATCTTCCAGAGGCTGGGAGTAGCTTTGAAGCAGGGAAAGAAAACATGTGGAGTCAAGTTTGAAAAATTCACGCTCATAGGAAAATTATCCTCTTTGTTTGGCAATGTCTTCATGAGCAACTCCCGGTTAATCATCTACTCCTGTTAAAGGGGGCGTCGGAGGTTGGTTTTTGTCCAGTTTATGAATCTGCGGCAGAAACTGTGGATCATGTATTATGCAATTGCCCATTTGTTATTTTAGTTTGGAAGTTATGTCCCCTTCGATTGGATTTTAGTGCTCAACAGCCGTCTCTTTGGCCAAAGCGGTGGGAAGAGCTTTGTGAGGGATGGGCAATGTTTGAAACTCCGAAGGAATGCATGAGTCTGGCAACGTATATTTGCTGGACATTATAGAAATACCAAAATGATCGAGTTTTTAAGAATTATTCGTGGGATCCTTTTGCGGTGGCGGCCCAGTCAGCTCTCCTCGCCTTTTAGGAATTTCGGGACATATCCCGTCAGACTCTTTTGCTCTCCCTTCCTCCGCCGTTGGTTCTCCTACCTTTAGTGGGCTGGGTGCCTCCGCCAGCTGGTTTTTTGAAGCTCAACTTTGACGTCGCTTTTAATCACTCTACTCTTGCTTGTGACGGCGGTGTTATTCTTCATAATTCCTTTGGGCAGCCAATTAAGGTTGCATCAATGTTTTTGTTGGATGTTTGTGGCCCGTCCATGGCTGAAAGTTTGATTTTGCGCGAACCCTTACTTCTTCTCAAACGATGGCGTTTTTCAAAGGTTGTTATTGAAGGGGATTGTTTGTCTGTGATGAAGCTTAATGTTTCTGAGGATGCTCAGTAGATAGTTTTCTAGGATGTTTCTTTGCTATTTGCGGAGTGTGTGGGATCTTCCCTTGCATGCGTTCCACGTTCTTGTAATAGAGTTGCTCATTCTCTGAGTAAAAAGGCTTTAGCAGCCAGTTGTGGTGATTTGGAGTGGCGCATTTGGCCTTCATGGCTGTTGCATGCCCTCCACCTTGATTGTTCATTTTCATCTTGAATATAGTTTGTTTGTTGGTGCCAAAATAATAATAATAATAATAATAATAATAATGAAATAAATAATACAGTAATAATAGTATTATCATGAAAACCTTCTCAAAAACAAATTTTCAATTTTAGATAAATATAAATATATTCTTTTAAACTAAATAAATAAATAAAATTCAACAATTATATAGTACATAATTAGAAATTTTATAAATAATTAAATAAATAATACAATAGTAATTATTGATAATATATATGTGATACAAATATTAACTTTGCATTCTATGATATGTGGTGGATCTCACTATAACCAAGATCTCCACATATGCAGAGGAAATCTATCATCCATTGCTTCGAACAAGTTTCTCTCGGTGAGACCTAAACATATGTGAAAGAGTTATAATGTCAATAGTTGCATATTTTCAATCATTTCAAGAAATTAATTAAGAGATTTGTCTTTAATTTTTCTTTCTACACTTGTATTATTTGGATTAATATATCTTCAAAATATGTGTATTTTTTTTTTTTTCTATCATTCAAAATATGAGTATAATGACTTAGATTATCTATAAAAAAATCATTTCTTAAATAATTTTATTAAAGCTACAAACAATTAAGTAGAAGTAGTTATAACAAAATAAATTTCTACACCAAATATGATATGGGAAGAAAGGCTTATATGGTAATATTAGTTATGAAATTATAAAAGAAAATAATGTTTTTACTGAAAAAAAAAAAAAAAAAAACATTGAAGAAGGTTGAAAAATAAAATATCAAAATTAATGAAACTTTCATAATGTTAATTTTACCCCTAAATTTATGAAACTTTCATAATGTTAATTTTACCCCTAAATTCAAACCACTCAATAATCAACTCACCTATAAAATTGATATAGGTTGTCCTTGAATGCACTTGCACCGCACGGGACGCCGGTAAAGAGAAACAGTTTGGCTTAGTTTGGTAGAGTGGAAATGGGAGGAAAGGGAAGGGAAGGTCATGGAGGGTGATTAAAAAGTTTTGTTTGGGTAAAATGGGTGGAAGGAAAGGAAAGGAGAGGGAAGGCTTTGGAGGGTTAAGTATAGCTTTGCATAGTAATTTGCTTATTCTCCCAAAAATAGGAGAAAATGAAAGGAAAGGGAAGGCAATGGCTGAAACAATATTTGTGATGCTAATTTTACCCTCAATATTATATTTACATACAAGTTAGCAGTTGCAGAGAGTGTGAGAGATGACGGGCCAGCGGCTGAAGCTTGCGAACGGCGAACCCGAACTAGAACAGCGGCGATGGAAATTGAAAGATATTAGTTTTGATTTTCTGAATAATTTGAAATGATATACCGATAGGGGTTTTAAACTTTTGATTCTTGCAGACAGATAGATAAATTGAAAAATATGGGTTTTGAACTTCTGATTCTTGTAATGCAGAGAGAGAGGGCAAATTCAGACTGGAGAACGAGAATGGAGATGGAGGCGATATTGGGGAGGCTAGATTGAGTTGCCCTATTTTTTTTTTTTTCTTTTTTTGTGGACCTGAAGAGACAATATATATATATATGGAGGCGAGATTGGGGAGGTTGAAATGAGTTGCCCTAAATTTTTTTTTTCTTTTCTTGTGGGCCTGAGGGGACAATATAAACACACACACACACACACACACACACACACATATATATATATATCAAAGTTGAGAACGAGAATATGGAAGCTGAAATGATTTGCCCTATTTTTTTTTTTTCTTTTCTTGTGGGCCTAGAGACAGTATATATATATATATATATATTAAATATAGAAGGGTATAATAGTCGATTTATTAAAATAATTCCCTTTCTTTTCTTTCCCATTCTTTCCCAAACATGATTATTGTCTTTCTCTTTCTTTTCCTTCGTCAATCAACCAACCACAGTTCCAAATCTTTTTTTTCCTTTCCTTCCCTTTTACTAATGTCCTCCTTCCCTTTCAAACACACCCTACCAAAACATAGCCTTTATGTTCTCAAAGGCATTTAGGCTCCCGCCTCTATATATATTTCTAATCGCACTCGTGTCACTAACCCTCTGAAGAAGTTACTGTACTGCTCCATTCTTGATTTGCGTTTGTTTGACACTTCTTTTCCCTGGTTCTGCTTTGTTTTATGAGTTGCTGACACATTGAAATAATGTCAATTAGGTTAATTTCTGGCTTGAAAAGCAATAATTGGAGGTTTTGAGATGTTTACCGGTGAATCTAATCTTGACAAGATCGAACCCTTGCCGGAGGATTCAATCCCTTGGCGGTTATAAATGATCCTTTGCCGCCGGCTGTTGATGATGGAGAGAAGAAGGAGAGGGAGATTGTGCTTGGAAAGAATGTGCATACAATGTGTCTTGAGGTTAAAGAGCCTAATGCCGACGATGAGGTTACAGGAGAGAGGAAAGCTTATATGGCTGGTGTATTGGCAAGATATAGGAAATCTTTGATTGAAAGGACCAAACACCATCTGGGTAACAAAAAATGCCTTTTTTCAATGTTCATTTATTTATCCATTTTGGCATTGTGTATGCTAATGTGATTGGTAAACTGTGAGAAGATAAGGGTGACTCTATGTTGATTTATTGTTTTTTGAGAACTACAGTTGATATTTAATTTATTTTTGGAACAAAAATGATTTCTTTTAGGGATTGCTCGTCTTTTATTATATACATGAAGGTGATAAGGTAATGGAATGACAGGGATAGTGCTTTGATAACATAACATGGCATTCTCAATAGGATTAAAAATATTGTTGGATAACATAAATTATAATTTATAACAAATGTTAGTCTTATGCATCTGTTTTCGCCATGTTATGTGAGCAAAAATCATGTTAGGTTTATTAGATAATGTATGATGTATCACTTGTCTGTTCATTCATACTTGCAATATGATTAATGATGAGACTATTTTGGGTGATAAGATTGTTCGAACTATTTTGATCACACACTCTTTAGGGTTGGTGACTTAGAGGTTGTAAGATTTAGGTGGCAATTAATAGATCAGATGGTCCATATTTCTCCTAAGAATATAATATGGATGAAAATAATTATATTAATTATAGTTATGGTTGATGGAACTGTGCATCTGGGTTAGTGCAGGATACAGCTAAATTTGTTTAGATTGGGGAGGTAGTTTTAGAAAGATCCAGGGTGAAGCTTGGTTCAACTTGAATCAAGAAATGGGCATTTTGGCGACCTGCTTCAACCTTGTGATAAGGAAATAATTAAAACTGTTCCATCTAGTGTCCAGAAGGGCAACGAGGCCGGATAGCTTGAGACTTGTTCGAGATTCCTCCTCCACTGCTCTTCCGACATATTATACCATACGTTGTTTGTAATATAATTCTTCCGTGTGCTTTTCATCTTTCCTCCTTCCCTTTATTCTTCTCCATCTTTCCCCTATCTTTCTTCTATTCTTGGTATCGAAGTCATACAACCCTGACAGGTTAAGTATGCTTTGTGGTCATAGTATAGACTAATCTTTGACATCAAAACAACTATAACTACATCTGCTATTTTCAATGTTAATTTATTGTAGTTTTCATACTGCTTAAGGAATAGGATTTTATTCTTCTAGGCAATAAGGCATTAGCCATTCTTGTGAGTTGTTTTAGGTGTTGTAATTCCCTCTTGTGAGATTCATCAATGTTGGAATCAACAACTTCAAGTATCCTTTCTGAAACTACTCTTATCCAGAATAATCAAGCCAGAAATCACAAAAATTATATTGTAAAATTACTTTTTGATATCATCAATGCCATTGGTTCAAGAGTTACATTTTGGAACTGAAATAGAAATTAATCTGGAAACCTTTAATTAAAAGTTCTACCTTCCTATATTCATTTATGAAAATCAGTATTCTATTACAGGTTACCCCTATAATCTGGATTTTGATTATGGTGCCCTGGCACAGTTGCAACACTTCTCCATCAACAACCTTGGCGATCTATTTATAGAGAGCAACTATGGTGTCCATTCCAGACAGTTTGAAGTAGGTGTATTGGACTGGTTTGCACGTCTATGTGAATTAGAGAAGAATGAATACTGGGGTTACATCACAAATTGTGGCACAGAAGGCAATCTTCATGGTATATTAGTCGGGTTAGTAGCAATGAGCTTTATTCCTTTGAGCTTTTTCTTTTTAAGATGGTATAAACTACTGTTTCTATTTTCAAAACAAAATTAAAAATATATTGGTTTTGCAGAAGGGAAGTGTTTCCTGATGGAATTCTATATGCCTCACGCGAATCACATTATTCAGTTTTTAGAGCAGCACGAATGTACAGGATAGAATGTGAAAAGGTCAACACTTTAGTCTCAGGTGAGATTGATTGTGAAGATTTCAAAGCTAAACTCCTTTGTCACAAGAACAAACCAGCTATTATCAATGTAAACATAGGTATTGCTCTCTCTCTTTCTCTCTCTCCCCCTCCCCTCTTCACCTCACCCACACAATGTGATATGATGCATGGCTCACCCATTATGTTTTTGAAGGAACAACTGTTAAAGGAGCCGTTGATGATTTTGATCTGGTTATACAAACCCTTGAAGAAACAGGATTCACGCATGACTGGTTCTACATCCATTGTGATGGGGCTGTGTTTGGCCTCATGATGCCTTTTGTCAAGCATGTAAGTTTTCAGTGCTTTCCTGAATAAGCGCTTTTTTTTCTAGTCAGAAGATGAGTCGCATTTTCTCCAGAATGTTGCTTACTTGATGCATATATATATATTGGGGAAGTTAGAAAATTCCATCAGTGAGTTTTAGCTTGGAATATAATTGGATGAATATCTTTCCTTTTGCTGATGTTAAGCATTTGATTTAAGTTTGTGTGCTACTAGTGTAATGTTATTGGGTGTTGGACAAATGTGATATGATCAAATGGTTAGGATCTCCTTGTTTGGACTCTCACTCATTTAACAGTGGATCCTATACATATTCCTTCTTTTTGGCATGAGAAACACAAGTACGTGGTTGTTGAAGGTGTGTCGACTGCAAATGGGATGAGTTAGTCCTGCTTGGTTCTCGTCCTCAAACACACATATTGAACACTTGCCAAGCCAAAAAATAAAAAATTTAGAAATTGTTCCCTTCCATTGTCAATACTTAATTGATTGCAAGATGGAAAAAAATAGTATCTTACAGAAATAATGTTTGGAAGTGATTTGAAAGCATCAAATATCTCTTATGAGCTTAATTTACTAAATAGTAATCATATAGGAATAGCCTCCCTCTTTTTTTTCCCACTTGTGTATGCTTGTCTTCAATAATAGTCGTGATCTTAATCATAAAGGGAATTCTGTTATACAAAAAGCCAATGAATCTTGCACATTACTATAGTTCGCTAGCCATTTTAATCTCAGTTTATATAATCTAAATAGCATTTCAAATTAATTTTGCAATTAAATAAAATTAGAAAATTCCTTTTGCTCATAGTTTTTGGTGATGACTAGGCACCAAAAGTTACTTTTAAGAAGCCAATTGGAAGTGTGAGTGTCTTAGGCCACAAGTTTATGGGATGTCCAATGCCTTGTGGTGTCCAAATAACAAGATTGGAGCACATTAATGCCCTCTCAAGGAATGTGGAGTACCTTGCTTCTAGGGATGCAACTATCATGGGAAGCCGGAATGGCCATGCTCCAATCTTCCTCTGGTATACCTTAAACCGGAAAGGATACAGAGGATTCCAGAAAGAAGTCCAGAAATGCCTCAGAAATGCACATTACTTGAAAGACCGTCTTAACGCTGCTGGAATTGGAGCAATGCTTAACGAACTAAGCAGCACAGTTTGTGTTTGAACGTCCACAAGATGAGGAGTTTGTTCGCAAATGGCAGTTTGCTTGCCAGGGGAACATTGCTCATGTAGTGGTAATGCCCATCATCACTGTTGAGAAGCTTGATGATTTCTTGAGTGAGCTTATTGAGAAACGTGCTACATGGTATCAAGATGGAAAGCTTCAATCTCCTTGTGTTGCATCTGATATAGGTATGGAGAATTGTCTTTGTGGTTTACACAAGTGAGGGGCTCTTGTGCTTTCAGAGCTATTGCATTTTGTTGTTTGTTATCTGCATCAAAGACTTTCTTATTAGATATTAGATGAGTTCCATGTGCTCTTCAATTTTACTCTTATCAGATATTAGATGAGTTCCACTCACTCTTCAATTTTACACTTCGCCTTCATACTTCTCTGGCTATGTATTTGTTATGAAATCTTTGAAATCTGAAATTCCTCAATTGACTTCTTACAAGCATGTGGTCCAACATCTCGTCTACATTTTAACCTTATGCACGGCAGTGGCAGTATTTGTGTAGTATTGCTGCCATGAGTTTGATGTTTGTGTAAGTTTATTTTGCTGCTTTGAGTTTATTTTGCTTAGTCTTTAATTGCTTGCTTAATAGGCTTATGCACTAATAACCTTTAAACATATAGTTTATTTTTTATGGTGATAATACTTGTGTAGGGGTGGCTACTAATATTAGTAGTAGAGCAAATTGGAAAGATCCAGAATTATATAAACTTTTCTTAGATTCATGTCTCAAGGAAGCAAATAACGGAGGAAAAAGTGGTGGTAGTCTTAAAACAAAATCATGGGACAAGATCAAGAAAATAATGGCTAAGGAAAAGAATGTTGAACTCAGCCAAAGACAAATGAAAAATCAGTGGGACTACATGAAAAAAAAGTACTTGACGTGGAAAACATTGATGAAAAATATCAGAAATGGGAATGATCCAGACACCAAGAATTGGGGTGCGGAGAAATGGAACGATTATATAAAGGTAGCAGTCTCTTTCGTTTTACACATTAATTAAGATGAATATAATTGGTGGTTAATATGTAGAATAAAACTTGATATGTAACAGGAAAATCCAGATGCAAAGCAATTTCGTTATGTTGGTTTACAATATATTGATGAGCTGAAATCTTTATTTGATGGCATAACAATGATTGGACAAGCAGCGCAGAGTCCATCTAGGACGTGTTTGTTTTCAGATGGTGTAAAGAACTCAGCATCTTCTCAACCAGAAGTAGGAAGTTCACAAATAGGAATTGACCTCGAGTCCAGCTCTTCAATTATGCCTTCCAATCAAAGTAAAGATATGTTGTTAAATGGTAAACGTCGCAACAGCAACAAGTATGGCGATCTTGATGACCATTTATCAGCTATTCTCAAGACGTTAGAAAAGTCTGATGGGCCTAGTATCGAAGAATGCCATCACTATTTGGACGGCATGCATACACTTCAAGTGGAGATTATATATTGCTGCTTGTATTATCTTTTGTGAAGGTAAATCATATAGAGTGCAGTGGATATTACTAGCTCAAAAGCCAGAAGAAGTTAGGATTACTTGGATAAAAATTAATGCCAAAAAACTAGGATTTTTGTGAATATATTATTCGATTAGTTTGTTTCCTATTATTTTTTGTGAATATTTTCATTTAACCGTTCAGTTGAATTATGATTTAAAGTTCCCTTGTTAATTTGACTGTTACTTTTATTGTAATTTAGTTTAGTTTTTTGTTATGCAGATTGTAGACTATATCCTCAATTAATGTTACAGAATTTTGAATCAATGCATTTTTGCTGTGGACAAGAATTAATCTGAATGCATGTGTACTTTTTTTTAGGTGGCATGTCTACTCGTAGTCTCTTACATAAACCTTGAATTTGACCTCCTCAGAGAACATTACAATCATGGTTTCTTTTTTAATTGTGTACTATTGAATGGTTTGAATAGTAGATAGATTGGTGATTGTCAAAATTCGAAGTTGTAGCATGATAATTGCTCAATCAGGTCCTTATACAGGTCACCACTACAAGAAAAACTTCGATGTGAAGACCAATCCTTGTATGCACAATTTTACATCTTGCGGGCTGACATGGAACGTTGCGTCAACGGCTCATTGCAGATTGTTGGGAACAATTCACTTATTAAAGGTATTCTTTGTACTTCATTTGAATAATCACCATATAAATCATTCACTACAACCTGTTTTCAGTATCTAAATGTATATCAAACGTAAGATCTTTCGCAGTTTTTTATATATCTATATATGTGGTAGGTATTTGAAGTTATACCATTGAAAAGTCTATGATATGGTCCTGCTGGAAATAATGTTTACTATGGATTTGATCCAACTAGTATCTTCTCTTCCTGCAGATAATGACCTAGTTTGATGTTTGTGTGTGTACTTGCGTGTTTATATATTTGTACGTAATTGGTTGGGAGGGTAATATAAGCACTTCATTAACACTGACCTCACATATACATGTATACATGTATGCTGATGTAAAAGGTTAGAAATATGTTCTTCAATTTTTATGGCTGATTCCTTGCCCCATGAACTAATTAGACACCTTAAACAACATTGAGAATTATATCAGACTGGACAATTCATCAGTGACCTCGGTTGCCAACTACGGTCCAAGTACAGAATTTAGTGTTGAGTGTGCGTAGCGGAATGGTTGTGGAATATACTATATGGATAGATAATCTAGAGATGGTAAATAGATTCAACTTGCTCTTTTATCCAATTTTTACTTATTTTAATTTTACTGAAATAAAACTAAAATCAAACCACAAAACAAAAATAAAGTGCAAGTAAAGTAAATAGAGTTCGAAAGATGACACCAGGATTTTATCGAGGATACCCCAATTGGTAGAATAGACCAACTGTAACAGGAAAAACCTCGTTGGACTTCGCAGTCCTGAGATAAATGATCCACTATGTTTGAATCAAAGTATACCGAACTTTGACTCAGTCTCACACCCTATCGTTCTACCAAAAACCAATTGCTGACAATTCCTGACTTTGCGACTCTCCTGTCCAACAACTCTCGACCTCAGGCTTACTCTCGATCTCTGTAGAAGAGTTGCAGGTAGATCAGACAACACTCCACGAATGCTCTGACCCCTTCAAAGTGTGATCGCTTCACCCCTTTTCTTCTAGATCTAAATTTGACGAAGAATGAATGAATGCTGTTTTTCTGGAATTTCTGAATCTTCAATTATACTTCAATTCCGATGAGATAGAGAACAACACTCCTAAATCACTCTTGTGTTTATGTGTGTGCTCTCAAAAATAAAATCAGATTGACTTTCTGAATGAATAAAAAATATCCAATTTTTACTTATTTTAATTTTACTGAAATAAAACTAAAATCAAACCATAAAACAAAAATAAAGTGCAAGTAAAGTAAATAGAGTTCGAGAGATGACACCAGGATTTTATCGAGGAAACCCCAATTGGTATAATAAACCAACTGTAACAGGAAAAACCTCGTTGGACTTCGCAGTCCTGAGATAAATGATCCACTATGTTTGAAGCAAAGTATACCGAACTTTGACTCAGTCTCACACCCTATCATTCTACCAAAAACCAATTGCTGACAATTCCTGGCTTTGCGACTCTCCCGTCCAACAACTCTCGACCTCAGGCTTACTCTCGATCTCTGTAAAAGAGTTGGAGGTAGATCAGACAACATTCCACGAATGCTCTAACCCCTTCAAAGTGTGATCGTTTCACCCTTTTTCTTCTAGATCTGAATTTGACGAAGAATGAATGAATGCTGCTTTTTTGGAATTTCTGAATCTTCAATTATACTTCAATTCCGATGAGATAGAGAACAACACTCCTAAATCACTCTTGTGTTTATGTGTGTGCTCTAAAAAATAAAATCAGATTGACTTTCTGAATGAATAAAAAATATCCAATTTTTACTTATTTTAATTTTACTGAAATAAAACTAAAATCAAACCACAAAACAAAAATAAAGTGCAAGTAAAGTAAATAGAGTTCGAGAGATGACACCAGAATTTTATCGAGGAAACCCCAATTGGTAGAATAGACCAACTGTAACAGGAAAAACCTCGTTGGACTTCGCAGTCCTGAGATAAATGATCCACTATGTTTGAAGCAAAGTATACTGAACTTTGACTCAGTCTCACACCCTATCGTTCTACCAAAAACCAATTGCTAACAATTCCTGGCTCTGCGACTCTCCCGTCCAACAACTCTCGACCTCAGGCTTACTCTCGATCTTTGTAGAATAGTTGCAGGTAGATCAGACAACACTCCACGAATGCTCTGACCCCTTCAAAGTGTGATCGTTTCACCCCTTTTCTTCTAGATCTGAATTTGACGAAGAATGAATGAATGCTGCTTTTTTGGAATTTCTGAATCTTCAATTATACTTCAATTCCGATGAGATAGAGAACAACACTCCTAAATCACTCTTGTGTTTATGTGTGTGCTCTCAAAAATAAAATCAGATTGACTTTCTAAATGAATAAAAAATATCTCTCAAAAAGGCTCTCAAGTAGATCTGTATTTTTTATGCAAAAGTCACGCAAAAAGATCTCTCTAAAGGCTTTCTCAAAATATAGAATTGATGTTCCTTAAAGCCATGAATAAAACAATATATATGACAAGGTTTATATAGAGTTTAGAAAGTTCTAATCCCCCAGAAAATAAGATAAACTTCGTGTATAGGATTTGGTACAATTCTAGACCAACTATGAGAGAAATCTGAAACAGGAAACTAAACTTTCCATAGGTTATCAGGATTCTTGAACTTGTTCAAAGAATTTGGAACAGGTTCAAGGATGACATAATGTATTTCAAGGCCAATGTTGAAAACTTGAACCTATTCAAAGAATTGGGAACATGTTCAAAAATGACAGAATGTTTTCTAGGTCAAATTCAAATGGCTTGAACCTGTTCCAAGAATCATGAACAGGTTTAAATCTACCAGACTTGATTCCTAAGGTTCTAGGCACTGTTTTTGGTATATTCTGAAACTTACCAAATGGAATGTGGCCTAACCTTTTTAGATTCATCCTAAAGTATTGTTCTTACCTGTCTCAAATGATCTCAGTCATGGTAACTTTGAATAACCTTCCAATTCTGCAATTGTTGTTGATCCGGATATGGTAACTTGAATTACAACTCGACAAAGACTTGTTTTGACTCCGAAAGTTGCCAATTACAGAATATATATTTTTTACAATCTTCCCAATATATATATCTTACAATCTCCCCCTTTGGCAATTTCGTGACAAAACCCTAAAAATAACATGTAATCTACCCCAGCAGAAAAAACAAATTACAATGATTGTCAAAGAAATAAAACAGAACTCTTCTTGAACATCATGAAGCTTCAATACATGTAGCAACCTGTAATCTGCACATTAGCTCAACAAAACTACCCGTGAAGCTTAATCAAGAAAGATAAACAATCAACATATATCAATATATGAATATCAATGTATATGTATCTTCCTTTCAATTCTAGAAACTCTCCCCCTCAATTATGCACATTCTCCCCCTTTTTGTTACAAATTGACAAATAAAGCTCAACAAAGAAGGAAAAGAAATAATGTGGAAGAATTAACAAGAAAAAAAAAAACTAAAAGGAAAATCTTTTTGGATTTTTTTTTCATTTTTCAATTTTTTCATGTTTATGATAGTTTAACAAAAAATATGAGATAGCAATTTCCATGAATTTCAATCATATATGAGATCCAAAAATTTCTGAAGAATTCAAGAGAATTTTAAAACACAATTTTTAGACCCCACAAATTATTCAATCAAATCAATTCTCAAGCATGCAATCACAACATGAAATTCAACTTGCAATTTTTATAAAAATTTAGAAATTTGTCTAGCAAGTTCACATGTGTGTGTGTGCAATCCAATCTCATCAAATTTCAATCAAATCACATTGACCAACTGTCTAAATCATATTAATCGAAAAACATCAAGATAAGATTGTTTTGAGTAAACTTTTCTAAGCTAGGTGGCTTTCACTCTAAAGAGTAGACAACAATTCCCTATTTCGACTTGTCTCCTCTTTTCTTTTTACTCAGTTAGCTCCTCTTCAAAGTCTAGTAGAAGCTTTCAAACTAGTCTCAATAGGTAGCCTTTTCCTTAGCAAAAATATTCAGCGTTTTTTTTATTTTTCTTTTCTTTTTATGCTGAATTTTTTCATTTTTTTTCCTCAAATACATGCTTTATAATTTTTTTTTTTTTTTAAAAAAAACCAATAACCTTTATAACTTTTATGAGCAATATGACCTAGTCAACTTTACAACGATTTCCAATTAAAATTCTCAAAGTTGGACTAGTGCACATGAAAAATATGAACTCAAGAGACTCATCTCTAAAAAGAAATACACAGAGCAAATTGTCTTTCAACATATAGATTACACATCAAGAATCTTTTCAACAAATAATCATGTGTCCCCAATTTGCATTCAAAAATAATTAATTCAAGAGAAATAAT